TTTTTTTCATTAAAGACAGTCCAAATCACAAGGTCATTGTTTATTTTTTATGTTAATGACATGTTGATCATCAAAAGAGACATTTCTGACATAAATGCTACTAAGCATATGCTAGAAAGTAACTTCGATATGAAAGACATTGAAGTTAATGATGTGATTGAAAAGGTACTTGACAAGTTCAAGTATTTGGATTTCAATATTGTCAAGACTCCAATAAATGTGAGTTTTGTACTTCAAAAGAATGAAGGCAAAAGCGACTCACAATTGGATTATGTTAAGAGTATTGAGAAGTATGGTATATATATCATGAAGTGTACACGATCAGATATAGCGTGTGCTATTAGTAAACTGAGTCGGTTCACGAGTAATCTCAATCAAACTCATTGGATGACAATGAGAAAAAAAAGTTTTGAAGTATTTAAAACATACTTAAAAACTATTGTTTTGCATTATAACTAATATTCAATAGTATTGGAAGAATATAGTGATGCAAATTGAATCACCGGGTCAAATGAAGTAAAATCCACGAGTGGATATGTAATTACTCTTGGTGGAGGAACAGTCTCTTGAAAATCTTTCAAACAGAAATGTATCGCTCACTCTACTATGAAATCTGAGTTTACACTCTAGATAAGGCTGGTGAAAAAGTTGAATGACTCCAAAATTTCTTGAAAGATTTTTGGCTCATACCTTTAGCTCCAGTATGCATCTCTGTAAAAGTTAATTTGCAATAGGTAGGGCATGGAGCATGATGTATAACAAAAAGTCTCATCATATATGACATAGACATAATATCGTTAGAGAACTACTCTCTAGTGGAATTTTTATAATTGACTATGTAAAGTCAAAGGATAATGTGTCGGATCCACTTACAAAAGGCCTAACTAGAGACGGAGGTGATAGATTATCAAAGGGAATGGGACTATGGTCAAGGACAAGCCACTGTGGCGGTAACTTTATCTAGAAGACTGGAGATCCCAAGATCTAGGTTCAGGGAGATCAAACAATCATTGATGATGGTTCAACATTGTCAAAATATTATTTATGGTCCATTCTCATGATAAGACAATGTTCAGTAACAAGGATAAAGGCATTAGGACATTTTAATGGTTTCTAAGTTTGATACAAGGTATATCAAATGGTGTATCTATGGGATAACACATTTAGAAAGCACCTATGTAAGTGTGAAGTGTAAGTCGCTTCAAGGAGAATCCGGTAAGGCCAGTTCTCTACGCACTTATAAACCAAGACGTGTTCATGGCTGAAATGAACAAAACAATGAGAATAAAAAACAATTCAAGGTTTGATTGTGTGACTTATGTTGTCTAGGTATACACCAAAGCTCAATGGTTCAAAGATGTCAAATTTACCGTTTGATCGAGTATATCTGATATATGTTCACTATGGAAAGTTCAAAGGGAAACCCACTTATCCAGATGCAATTAATCCTTACTTACGAATCACACAGTTTTTGATGCATTATATTTTAACAATTTCCATTCCCTATTCATGTGGGGGATTGTTGGGTTCTAAAGGTGTGAACAGGAAATAAAGGGTTGTGACTCTTCTGAAGGGTTGTGACTTTGCCAAAGGGTTGTGACCTTTATGAAATGTTGTGTCGTTTCTAAAGGGTTGTAACCCTTTGAAAGGTTGTGCCTTTTCCAAAGGGTTGTGACCTTTCTAAATGTTATCTTTTTTCCAAAGAGTTGTGACCTTTACCCTTTGTTGGCTATAAATAGAGAGGCTTTCTCTCATTTTTCTGCATTGAATTCTTCCCTTCTTCAGCATACATTTCTTACAAAACAAAATCGATCGATCGTGTCTCTGTGTGATTTGTTGCTGTCATTTTGAGTTCGTTGAAATTATTGAAGTTTGAAGTACCACTACTTCTTTAATGGTTAATCCGTTTTATCTTGGGAGGAATTAATCTGTAACCTCAGGTACTTGAGGGGATAAAATTTCTTAAGGACACAGTGAGTTCTGTGGACTCGGATAGTTCTTTGTTTTTCTTTTCATCTTTTATTATTTCTGGTTTGCTAATCTGAATACAGGAGATAACAAAGATTTTGTTCACACAATCCCCTATGTTATCTGGTGGACAGTTCGGAAAGAAAACAAAGGCGAATGATATTGTTCACACCTGATTATTTTTTATCCTAACAAGTGGTATCAAAGTCATGGTTCAATGATGGAGCCAAGTTAGAGATGGATGTTCATCTTGGCGGGTGTAGTTCTAGCCGCAACTTGTTTGACAATAATGAAGATTTTTGTTGGAGAAATTGTTTCAGAGAGGTTCTCTGTGTTGAGACGTAGATTTGATGGAGGAGATTATGGAGAAGAGATGCAAGATCCTAAAGATTATGTGAAGAAGGTGGATTTATTTTGTCAGAAATTCAGGCCAAGGGGGAGATTTGTTAGGTTTTATTTGCCTTGGTTTCTTACCATACATAAGTTTTCCTTTTAGGAAAAGGTTTTAATATTTTACTGGTCATTTTCTTGTAGGAAAGGTTTTAGGACTCTATAAACATAGGATTGTTTCTTCTAATTTAATTAGCATTCACAATGTAGTCTTAGGGTTTTGAGAGTTGTGGTTATGGGGGAGAATTTTGTGTACCTCCTTGTATTCCGAGTGAATTGGTTGAGGTTGTTTCTCTCTATATTTTGTACTCTCATATTTATAGTGGATTGCTCATCTCCTTTGTGGACGTAGGTCGATTGACCAAACCACATTAAATCTGTCTCTTTAGGTGTGTTTCTCGTTTGTCTTCTTACTCATGGTCTTTCGAGGTTTGCTTTGCTAGCTTCCGCATGACACCTCAATTATTTTCGATCCTAACACTTTGCTTATGCACTAGGATAGTCACAGAAATTTACTATGAAGACAGTGTCTTCTGTAGTGTGCCTACTCAAACCGGTTTTCCGCATCCAAGACTTTGTTTTGCCACCAAGGACAGTCTTAATAGGTAGACGTTTAGCTTGTTAATGAAATTACTTAATATGTAACAAACTATTGATAAACGAAAACTAATGCTTTTATTCACAGGGAAATGCACACTTCAAAAACATCACGAATGAAAGAATTAGTCTTATATTTTCATCACCAGCTACATATATACTAGACTTGAATCATGCAATTTTCAAAAACAAAAAATTAAATTAGTTGGTCCTCGAAGAAGCAAAATAATGTCTCTCGCTCCTCCACTGAATCTGAGTATAGGGCATTGGCTAATGCCCTTTCTGAAACCTTGTGGGTTACCAATCTTCTCACTGAGCTGCGCTTTACAGTGCATCAGTTGCCTACCATTTATTGTGACAATCTTGTAGCCACATTCCTGAGCAAAAATCCTGTCTTTCATAGCCATGTGAAGCATGCTGCAGTTAATTTTCACTTTGTTCGCCACCATGTAGAAATAAAAAGGGTTCAGGTTGTTCATGTCCATGGTGCCAATCAAATCGCTGACACTCTCACCAAGGCACTGCCTAAACCTGCTTTCCAGTAAAATCTATTCAAGTTAGGCTTAGTGACCCATCGTCTAACTTGAGGGGGCGTATTGGCACTGAACGACTCAGCCCTGTTAGCTACTGTTAGTTCAGTTTAGTTAGGATACTGCAGCAGTCATTGTTTATTTATATTACGTTATTAGTGTTTGCTTAGGAGTCTTCTTATTCTCTCTGTAATTCTATTTAATACTCTTTTAAGTTCATTAATAATGTATCTTCTTTCAGCACTTACTCAGTGTTTATAAGTTCATCAAAACTCTCAATTTGAACAAGGCCGAAAGCAGAGGTTTATTACACAGCTGATCCAGTGTAATAAGCTCCTCCTGCTCCGTGTAGAAAGAATTTTGTCCCACCAGGACGGAGCTGCAGCCGTCATGGTTGGTTTTGCAGGCATTAACATCACTTCAGTAGCAAGTATTGAACTACAAAATGGGAAAATTCAGTCCACAGAACAGAATGTTTTGCTCTATTTTAAGTGTGCAGATAACAATTAAAATTGTATACTTGAAATGTGTAAAAGACTTGACATCGATTGTCTCTTATTACATCTTATATTATTTTTTTTACTGCTGAAATGTGTATTTTGTTTCAAAAGGAGCTAGAGTTTGTACTTAAACATGTTGCATAAGCAAGAAGCTTATTATCTATAAAGAAGAAGAGATCATCAATTTGATCCGAGCTCTGCTAATGAGAATGACTTATTTAATTAGTGTCAACAGTATCATGCTTGAACAGGACTAGAAACTGTGTGCTCTTTATAGTACGAGGCCTTGCGTGTATCTTTAACCATTTGTTGTAACAGAACATCTAGTACTCCTTTGAGCTAATCCCTTTATTGGTTTCGAGCATAAGCTCAAGAACGTGTCGATTTCCTAGCTAGGTAATCCTGTACTCTTTTATCTGGTTCTGGAAGAGCATCACGATGAAGTCATGACTCATCAAATTAAGCGGCTCTGCTGGATTTCATCCTGAATGTGATATCTCTGCTAGGATTTAAACCTTAGTATCCAATTTTTCAATTGCGGTCGTTGTTATTCAAGCTATTGTATACTGATCAATATCGAGGAATCTTTTTATATTTCAAAGTACACGAGAATTTGGAATTGTTTTAGTATCTTTAATGTGTGCTTTCTATTCTTATTCCAGCTTTCTAGCAAATCATCTCATGTTTTCTACTGTTATTCCAGTTTCCCTTTTGACCCCTTTGCATTCTATGCAATTCTATGGTTTTTCCTCGCAATTGAATTTGTTGAGTCACAAGAGAAGAAAACTGGAACATATAAATAAAATGTAACAAACACTTTATGAAGCAAAACACAAACACTTTATGAAACATCACAAACTATGAAATTAAAAGCTTTTGTTCTCATCCCAGCAATGCAGTGGGGACTTGAATCCTGCAAATTTCAAAATTTAAGAATTAAAGTTAAAAGCTTTAAGGATGAAGGAGGTAGAAATTTTATGGATATAAATTAAGTTGAATACCTGGAGGTTACATACTAATATCTTTTGTTGTGCTTTTTCATTTTCGTAAGAATTTTGTGTTCCAATTCTACATCCATCCTCGAAAACCATGCTGGATATTGAGTTGACAACATTATGTATATTATGGATAGTCCAATAACAAGTCCACAACCATAACCCATGAGAACTGCCTGCCAACTTATAATTGCTGAATCTCCTCCTCCTCCTCCTTCTTCTTCTTCTTCTTCATCTAGCCCAAATGGAGTTGTTGCTTGTGGTACCCCTTCATCACTGCCACAATCTTTTGAGAGTGGCGATCCACGTAACCCATCATTCCCTTGGTATGAACTATTCACAAACGTATTAAATTGATTTCCTTTAGGGATGCATCCAACAAGATGATTGTGAGAGAGATTTAAGACTTCAAGTGATTTGAGGGATGCAAGTTGTTGTGGAATTTCTCCGCTGATTTTGTTGGATGAGAGATCCAATGATTCAAGTACAGATAACTGGTGCAGTGATGCTGGTATAATACCTTCCAAGTGATTATGCGATAAGTTCAACGTGCGAAGCCCAATGAGATCTCCAATAATGCTTGGGATATGACCTTCAAATCTATTCCTTGAGAGATCGATAATCATGTCTGTAATCAAAACTCGAGGAAGTTCCTGATCTAGTCCCTTTGTTGTCACTATCAAGGAATTTGTGTAATAAGCAGAAAATTCTCCTGCTACATATTCTCGGGTTCTACTGTTCTCACCAATTATTTTCATGGCTTCAAAATTCTCAAAAAGGCTCACTGGTATATCTCCACTAAATTCATTGGAAGAGAGATCTATGACTCGAATTTGAGCAAACAAGTTGTCAGTCCTTGAATCTTTTATAGGGCCATAGAACTTATTTGATCTCAAAATCAAAATCTGCAAATCAGGTAGGTTTCCCAACCATTTAGGAAATGTGTCATTCAACTCATTGTTACCTAAATCAAGAACTTCCAAATCTTTGCAATTGATCAAAGATTGTGGGACTTTCCCCTCTAACTTATTCCCATCAAATTTAATGACTGCAAGTTGGTTTCCTATACTAAAAGTAGTATTAATTGTCCCGCTAAGACTATTGTTGCTTAAATCCAAAGCCTGAAGTTCACTCATCTCACCCAAACATAGTGGGATTGTTCCCTCCAAATTATTGCTCCCCAAATTTAGCACTTGTAGTGTTTTCAGATTGCAGATGGTTGAAGTGATCTGTCCACTGAGATTATTGTGCGAAAGGACAAGAGAATATAGATCACGCTGGTTTAGGAGTGACTTTGGAATAGGACCTTGAAGCTGATTTTGTTTTAGAATAACGGAAAACAATGTTTTGGACTTGAACTCCTGAATGTTTCCACTGAAATGGTTATCACTCAAGTCTAACCAGTCAAGTGAAGGGAGGGAGAATATCCAGGAAGGTACAGTCCCATTCAAGTGGTTTGATGACAAGAAGAGAACTTGAAGGTTTTGCATACCACTTACATTAGAAGGAATGGGACCTGTTAGGAAATTGAATGAAAAAACTAATGATTCAAGTTGTGTCCATCTGCTAAAGGATAAAAACTCAAGTTGGCCATCAAAGCTGTTATTTCCAAGTGATAACGACCTGAGTTTTCCAAATCTAAAGAAATCAGAAATTGGTCCTTCAAGATGGTTATCATTAAGGTCCAACTCCTCTATGTTGGTGAGATTCCATAGAGGTTTAGGAATAGAGCCTGAGAGATTAGAAGAAGCTATTCTCAATGTACGCAGTGAAGTTAGATGACCAAATGATTCAGGTATCCTACCAGTAGCATTCACACCACTGAGATATAACTTCATAAGTGATGCACTGCTATTCCATTTGGTTGTGGGAAACCTAACAGTGAGCTGGGGATTGTCCGATAAATCAAGAGATTCCAAGTTGGAAAGGTGGAAAACACCTTCGGACAATATGCCGTATATCTGTGTGTCTGAAAGTTCTAGATTTGTTAAATAAGAAGAGAAATTCAGAGGAATGGTGGAAGAGATGTTCACAGAGCTAAGGTGGAGCTCTCTTAATTGGGTCAAGTTCTTAAGGAGCAGTTCAAAATTGTGAGGTTTGAATCTAAGCTCATATGGATCACCCTCAATACTAAGAACTTGTAATTTAGAAAGACGAGATATTTCTGGTCGGATTATACCTATAAAACTTGAATACGACAAATCAAGATGCGTCAAACTAGAAAGCTCACCAAATTTAGGTGAAATGTACGATCCACTGAAATTATTAAAAGACAAATCAAGCCTTTTGAGATTAGAGAGTTGAAAGAGGCTACTGTTGGAGTGAAACTTGCCTTGAAGTTGGCTGTCAGCGAGGTTAAGCTCAGTCACTTGTCCCGTCATCTCGTCACAATGAACTCCATCCCATGAGCAGCAATCTATGCTCTTGTTCCATGATAGTAATTTCGAATAAGAATCTATAGTAAACATGTGCTTGAATTGTAGAAGAGCAAGAGCTTGATCTTTGGGGCACAAATGAGATAAGGATGAGCAGAAAGCAAGTTGACAGAGTAAGGAAAATAGCATTAACAAAACAAGTTTTACGTAACCCATTTCTGCACTAAAATGTTCAAAACTAATGAAGTTGGTAGATAAGAAATCAAAAATCTTTTCTTTGTTCCTCTATTCAATAATTTAGATGAGGTATATATAGCACAACAGTTCAGGTAGAAAATCCTTCATATTTTTTATAGATTTCTTGGTGTGTAGACCTTGACTTAAAGGAAAGGATTCACAATGAAAAGGACTCTTAAAATCTATAGTTGATATAGAAATTGTAAAAGCTTGATGTTATTTAGGATATGCCCATGTCATAGGGTGTTATAATATTTTTAAAATAATATAGAAATAGTAAAAGTTTAATGTTATTTAGTGACAATTTGTACTCTTTGTAAATGTCCCTAAACCCTTCAAAGTTTTTATTGGTAGGATAAGAGTATTTCTTGGTGCATAGATCTTGACAAATATTTCAGGTCAAAAATTCATTTTTTTTTTATTAGTTATGGTAAAATTGTTATTTGGTTTATGCATCTGATTTTATATTAACTTGATGATGATTAAACTTATATTCTAATAGTTCTAAATATTTACATATTCCCACCTTTAATACATATATTGGACCTTAAACTTGGCTTCAAATTTTAACTTTGACCTCCAACTTTCATAGTGCACAAACAGACACTTTAACTATCCAACCTTTTAATAAATAAACACGCGTGTCTTACCTGGCAAAACGCGTGATGTGCATGTTTTTTGTGCGAGTTAGGAGTGATTTTTGAGGCCTACAACAGTAAAAAAAATTGCTGAAATGACAACTTTACCCTTAATTAATTTTTTATTTTTTTTAGTTCAAAAATGCATGTGTAAAGTGTTTAATTAGTTGGAAGCCATTGAGTGGCTCACTAATACACGTGGCAGCGTTTGCATTTCACGCTCTTGGCTCCAAAAATCGCGTGTTTATTTATTAAAAGGTTGGATAGTTAAAGTGCTGTTTGTGCACTATGAAAGTTGGAGGTCAAAGTTAAAATTTGAAGTCAAGTTTAAGGTCCAATATATGTATTATGCCTTCCCAAGTCAATACACGAGCCATTCCAAGAAAAGTTCAAATAAAAGCTACAATAGAAAAATTCTATCACAAAATTGGCTCACATGCATATATCTCTACTATAACAAAAGTGGCTCACATATATTTCTACCGTTATAAAAGTGGCTCACACATACCTTTCCATCAAATTGAAGTGAAAAAAAGTAATTCTAATTTATTTTTTAATTTTTAATTTTAAGGCAAAGTACAAATATACCCCTCAACTTTACGATTTAGAGCAGATATACTCCTCATTAAAAAGTGATGCATATATACCTCCATTGGCTAACAAACGGTACATATACACCCTCGTTGTCTAATAAATGGTATACATTTACCCTTTTCATTAACAAACTGAATTTTCTTAAAAAATAATCTTAAAATTGGTTTTTTAAGTCAAATTTATTGTTGTGGATCATAAATTAATTAATGTTATCATCCACCGACGGATGTGGCGGATGAATGAATCACAAATTAAGCAAAAAAAAATCTAGTACTTCTTCTTTGGAGTAATCAATTCCAAGACGCACACCTACTAACTTTGATCAGTCAAATTTTAAGTTGTCAATTACATAGTCATATTCCCATTCTTGGGTGAAATTCTACCGAAAGAACTTTTTTAGACTATTAAAATCTACTGTCTAATATAAAAAATTTATATTAGAAGAATACCATAATTATGATAATAATTAAAACAAATTATGTATGCATATAAATTATGATAATAATTAAAACAAATTATGCCATGGCATCCACATGACATTTAACAACTTCCGTTAATAAGAAGGGCACTTTTGACCCAATAGTTTGACGGGAAGGATAGTTTTGAGCCGAAATATAGTTTAAGGGTAAATATAATCTACTTCGGATAGTTTAAGGGTATTTTTGACCCTAAAATAATTAAGTTGAGGGGTATATAAAATTATCCTTTTCTCTTCAATCAATTTAAGTTTTGAGAGCAAAAAATAAAAGTCTTGTAAGAGTAGATGTTGATGTTTTGGCCTTGACAAAAACGATTAAGTTGAAAATTCAAAAAAAAAACTTATTTAGTTAGGATAAGAGTGTTAACTAGTGTAAAGACCTTGACTTAAAGGTAAATAATAAATCTAGTAAAAAATCACTTCAAATTTTGGTGGGACTGATTCATTAGGTCCAGATAGACAAATATTGTGAACCACAAATTAAGCAAGGAAAAATCTATCACAGCTAATCAATTCTAAGAAGCTCATTCAGTCACTTTCAGTCAACTTTTGAGTTGTTAATTACGTAACACATTTTCTGGTGAAATTCCATTGAAGAATCTTTTTTAGTCTATTATGAAAATAATTGTAATAATACAATTTTATTTGATACATTATCAGTCTTAAAACGTCATAATCCCAACTTTCTACACGTAATTCAGAATTCAGACCCACATTGTTATGCATTATAATCTCATTTGTCAAATTAGTACTACCAGGCATTATGGAGAAAAAATCACCTAGAGAATATTATGTCTAAAATAGTAAGAAATAGTTATTATATCAATTGAAGTCTTAGAGAAAGAAAAGTGAAGGGAGTTTTGGAACAACACTTAAGTGTCTCTGAGGCACGTCTAGGATTACGTGTTTAAATTTTTTTAACCCTACTAATGCGGGATGCTTTGTGCACAGGATAACCTTTTCTTTCTTAGAGGAGAAAGAAAAGTCTATAAGAATGATAATCAGTGTATAGATTTTAACAAAAAAATATTGTAACCATCCCAACGTGTGTGAAGGTCATTTAATCTAATAGTAGTCAAGTAACAAATAATTATTTTATCTATTAAAATTCTTAGAGAAAAAAAGAAGAAGATGAAAGAGTCTATAAGAGTATTAATCGGTGTATAGACTTTGTTAAAAACATCTCAAGTCTAGAATTCAAAAACATTTAATTAGTCAAAATAAGAGTAATAATTAGTGTATAGACCGTGAGAAAACAATATTTTTAAGTCAAAATCCAAAACAATAGTGATAGATTAGGATAAAAGTGTTGGTTGGTGTATAGACCTTTAACTTCCAAGTCAAAAATGCCAACTTTTTTTTTCTTTTCTGATAATCTAGAATGGATTTGATAATTTTAGTGTGTTCTTTTAATTTTAGGGTGTACAACTAAAGTCCTGCATAAGAAGTTGATAAGAAGAAAATATGTTAAGAGTAGTGATCTCAAGTCAATGCACAAGTCATTGCACAAGAATGACTTGAGAATATATATTAGCTTTAACAATTATCTAATCAATCTAAATTAGGAAAAGCCACAAGTACCCCTTGAATTATGACCGAAATTTAAAGACACGCTCTATATTTATAAGGTTCCTATTAACCCCCTCCCCCCCCCTCCCAAACTTTTTTCCTCTATATTGGTTTGCACCTTATGTGCTGACGTTGAGCTGCAACTCAATTTAATTAGTGGCGCGACACCACATGTATATATGTTTTTTTTTAAATATTATTTTTATTTCTTTGCCTGATATATAAAATAAGTTAATAGACATACTATGTTTTTTTATTTTTCTTTGCCTTGTATTTAAAACATTCTCAAACACACGTAATTGTTTTTTCTTTTTCATTTTTTTTTACCTTCTTTCATTGGTTTCTATTTATTTTATTTTCAATGTCTTTGCTTTGAATTTGATTTCAAATTTAACTCCAAATTTCTGATATTTAATATAAGTTAATTTTGGACAGATGCCAAATACTTAAGGAAATCAAATAAAACATAAAAAGATTAAAGCATTAAAATTAAATGACACTTTTTAAAAATAAAATTTCATGTAATTGAGAATATCGGCTTTAACAATAAAAAATAACTATTTAATCAATTTAAATTCTTCTCAAAACCACCGTCGAATAATATTAATTAGTGTATATGCCTTGACAAAAACTTTTCACGCTAATAAATCAAAAATAGTTCGATTAGTTAGGATAAAAATACATTGATTGATGTATAGACCTTGACAATAAAATCTCCAGTAAAAAATCTTTTAAAAGTCTTGATTGGTTGGGATAAGAGTGTTATATGGTGTATAGAACTTGACCTAAAGGTAAAGATTCCTAAAACTTTTGATTAGCTAGGATAAGAGTATTTCTTGGTGTATAGACCTTGAAAAAGAAATATCAAGTCAAAAATCATTCTTTATTTGATTGGTTAGAATATATATATATATATATATATATATATATATATATATAAGTGTGTTATTTGGTTTATACACTTGATTGAATATTAACTTAACTATGATCAAACTTACATTCTAATAGTACTTCTAATGAATTTACATGTTCCCAAATTAATGCACGAGTCATTACAAAGAAAAGTTCAAATAAAAGCTACAAAAGAAAAATTCAATCAGTTATAATGCATTTTGTTTGATATTTTAGTAGACGAAAATTTCACAATTTTCAAGTCTCTGCAAGTAGTCCTGGTCCCATTATGACGCATTATTAGTTAAGTAGGAAATAATTAGTTAATCATTTAATTTTTTAGAAGGAAAAAAAAAAAGAAAAGTCTATAACAGTATATAGTGATGAATGGGCCTTGACAAAACAATTGATTTGAAAATTCAAAAAAAAGTTTGTTTAGTTAAGATAAGAGTGTTAGGCACCTTGACTTGAAAGGTAAAACAGAAATTCAATTAAAAAAAAATGTAACATCCGGTAAGTTGAAATAACTATGAAAAAGCTTAAAAATCGGAAATAGTCATTTTTGGAATAAAATTCAAAATCTGGAAATTTGGTGAAGTGTGGGAAATCAGTGAGTTTTGGCCAACTTTGAGCAGTCATAACTCCTAGCCTAGGATGAGTTAGGAGTAGTTCCAGTTATTTTTGGAAAGCCCTTGGAATGATCTTTCCAACGCCGCCGATTTTACTCGATTCCGAGTTCGTATGAGTGAGTTATGCCCTTTGATAGTTGGGCAGTTGGCAGGGAATCCGTCCGGAAATTTTAAGGGCAT